CTGTGTCCACTGCAAGCGCCCAGTGAGCCTAGGAGGCCTGGGGGGTGCTGGGGAAAATGGGGTGCTGAAAGGCATTGGGGGCACTGGAGAAATTACTGAGAGACATTGAGGGAATTAATACTGGGGGAGCAGAGGCTGCATGGTGAGGGGTGGAAATGGGGAAAAGAGGTTACAGGAGGGAGATGGCAGGGTCCAGAGGCTGGAGACAGGCAGCAGCTGCAACTATGGCCCCAATCCCAGGTGGGGGTGGAGCCCAAGCCACAGCAGCCCCCTGCCCAGCCCTCCCCCACACATTGTCCGTGTACTCAATTCTAAGACAAAGGGCTTCCCCCACATTTTAAATGGTTAAAAATATAAATATCCTCTTAGAATTGAGTAAATATGGTATCTCAGTGCCCTGTACATTCTGTGATTCTGTGGCCATGACACTTGCAATGCAATTCACCCTTGGCCACAAACCTATGGTTTAGATTCTCAACTTAAATGTAAAAAAATGTCCCTAGCCCTCCTGGCTTCAAGAATTTCTATTGTTGTCTGTGGGAAATCAGTAGAATGGTATCTGCCTTAATTTGCAGATAGCCCAAAACAATGGCTCTGAGGGTAGGAACTGCCCCCCATTGATCTTAATAAGTTCTTAACTCTGAAAATGGGAAGAGGGCATGCTGCTGAAAAATAAGAGCGTGGGGACAGTGTAAAATATATTGAATTGCATATCAAAACAAGCAATAGAAGAATGGAATGAATGTGCTATTTATTTTTACAGTTAGCTCAATAAAAAAAATCTGTTTTATAGATTTGTTGGATAGCTGTGTAGAATTTTAAGAGTGCTGCAGAATTTATGGATCTTGTCACAGAAGTTAAGTCCATCTTGCCATAGAAAACACATATTTTGCTAGAGACCCTAAATCTTACAGAGCAAAGTTATTTCCAGTGTTCCTCAAGCATAAAGGGGCTAAAAAACAGTCAGAAGTCCGCTAGTCTCCTAGTGGGGAGGGACCTTTCAGAAGGAGGGTCCTAAGTAGTCTCCTAGGGAGGGGGACCTTTGAGCTGACACAGATGATGTATTTTTGGTTCCTACATGAACCACTCACTGCACAGACATGAAAGCAAACTGGGGGTTTGGCTGTGCTGTCAGTTGGGCAGTTTGGTTAGCTAGCTTAAGTTGGAGCTGACGCAGGAGCAGGCAAAATATGGCCCGTAGGCCAGATCTAGCCTGCCAGTCGCTTTCATCTCACCCACAGCACGCACCAATGAATTGGGCCCTGCCCAGCCCTTCTGCCCAGGAGGGTGGGAGCGAGGCATCCACACATATACAAACCCCCCAACATACCCTATTGCATCTTGCTCCCACCCTGGTGGGCTGAAGGGCCCAGCCCCGCCAGCACACAGCTTCCAGGCGGGTCTGCTGCTGCCCCTGCTGTAGCCGCCCCCATGGGAACCTGCTTGGCTTCCCCAGAGTCCAGCTTGCTCCAGGCAGCAGGTAGGGAAGCAGTGAGGGCAGGGGCTGGGGCCGGGGCAGTGGAGCTGCAGCTGGGGGGAAGCGCAGAGAGCAGCGCAGAGCCCATGCCCAGGGCGGTGGTGGAAGCACAGAACTTGGCTGGGTAGGGTGTGGGTGTGAGGGGGGGTGGGGGTTGTGGGAACCCCCTCCACACTCTCCTACATGGCACACAGCCCCTGGTGCTGGCAGCAGGAGCGGTGGGGGTGCTCAGGGTGCTCATGCCCAGCACAGGCACTGGCACCCAGTGGGGCGTGGCTTCAACCAACGCTGTGTGCGAGGTCAAGGAGCACAGCCTGCCCAGCTACCTCTCATGGGGGCTCCACGCTGCGTGCCTGAAGCTCCCACACTTGCACGAGAGGAAGCCCTGTGCTGAAGCCGGCTGCCTTTCCCACTCCAGTCCCTTGTGGAGTCCAGCATGGGGCTTCCCCTGGTGCAAGTGCAGGAGTTGCAGGCATGTGGTGCAGAGCCCTCATGACACAGGCAGCAGGCTGCGCTCCTCCCCTACCCGTACTGGCTGGAGCCGCACCCCACTGGGCACCAGCGCCTGTGCTGGGCAGTGCCCTGAGCACCCCTGCCTGCTGCTGCTGCCAACAGCAGGGACTGTGTACCATGTGGGGGTGCTCCCCCACACACAATATACAAGAGTAAGACTCTATTTTTGAGTTATTATGCAATCCCCTCTACATACAGGACACAAACACAAATCATGACAAAAATATTTTTTGTAATAAAATTAAAATATATCATAGTAGGTGTTTGACTTCTAGAGTATGATTTGGTTTTTTTCTGGTTTTAAGATGGCAACCCCCACTCCCAAAAGGAGTATTTGGGGGTGCAGCAGTGGCGGCAAGGGAAAGGACTTCCAGTGGCAAAGATCAGGAGCTAGGGGGTGGAATTTCTGGTCCCAATATGGTGACCAGGGGGCGGGGCAACGGTCAAGGGGAAGGCTAACCGTGTGGCCCTCCACAGCTCACCAAAACTCGTTAAGCAGCCCTCCAGCTGAACTAATTGCCCACCTTTGAGATATGCCATGAGATTCAGGGAACTGCATTCAGCTCACTGTTAAAACACTTCATTGCACCATATGTTCCTTCAGTGGTGTTGGGAAATTTAAGCCTGCGTAGGAGTGACAGGCCTAAAACTTTAAATCTATTCTCCCTAGTGTTCAGGGCCAATATTTTCAAAACTCACTAATGATTTTGGTAGACCAAATTGAGGTTCATAAAAATTGGCACCCATCTCTTCATTTAAGTGAGTTCAAAATCATTTCTGCTATAAGGGAACACCTTATAACACTTTGGATTTAAAATAATATCATTCTCTTTTTAAATGTTTATAAACCATGCTTGAATCTGTTTTGGTGTTCAGAAACATTTCTTAAGTTGAAGTGTCTGGGCAATTATGAGGCCAAATACATATGCTTTATCCCTTTCTCAAACTGTGGTGGGAAGGAGAGATGTCTATGTTATCATTATAGTTAAAAAGAATCTTTTGATGCAGTCTTTGACTCAAGATATTGTAAACCAACATAGTCTGCCCAATTTTCTGTCACAAGTAGTCAAAAATCTGTCTTCTCCCCCAAGAGCTGAGGGAAATTGAACAGCACAAACCTGAATCCAACTTTGCGAGAGTAATGGAGGCAGTTCTCCTTGACGTGGGTTTGGAAATAGGCTGATCGGCACACTGCCCCACACTCTGGGCAGCAGTAAGGGGACTTGTGAGCATGGATTCTCTGATGAGCACAGTAACTGCACTGGTTAGGCAGCATCATCTGGCACACTTGACATGTCTGGAGAAAGAGAGAGAAATCATGTTAACCAATTCAATTTGCTTCAGTGTCCTAATTTCACCCTAGTCATTCAGGTTAGAAGGGATGTCCAACCCCCAACATCATCACAGGCTTAACTCTACTCTGCATATCTCTGTATCTCTATGTTTCACTTGACCTAGTTATGAGTCTTCAAAAATTACATGCCAAGCCTGTGCCATTTGTTTTGGATTATCTTGTAAAGCATGCAACTATACATGCATGCAAGGCCAATTATTTACATGCTGAAGGAGCTGCTTCCCCAGAATCTGCAGACCTCACCGTGTCCAGTGTGCTCTCTCATGCCACTGGAGGGAAAAAGGCTGCTTGCATGTATGTGCAGAAGTTAGGTTTGCAGGTAAAACTCCATGTGGTTGGCGCATACATTTTCTATATGAATATGGTTTCAGTGTCAATGGCTCCCCAAACCCCTATTCCAAACCTAGCCATGCTAACTCCTCTTTTTTTTCCCTAATGGCCATGGAGTAGCTACTGACCATCTACTGAAGAGCAGTTCAGAGAAAATCCAGAGCAGGTATAGAGCTGTGTTGACATCTTCCCTGCTAGAACAGAGGCACTTCTATAATGTTGAGTGGCTCTGAACAGATCCCAGGCTTTAGAGGTGAAAGGTACCTTACTAGACAATGAAGAATATTCTGATGGAGTCTGACAAACTGATCCTAATCCCAGAATTCATACCTTCTACCTTTCAAAAGCCTAAGAAACCTCTTTTTAAAAATGCCATGGTAAAGAAGGATCTTATTTACATTTTCAGAAGCTAAAGCCTAAGTAAAAGTTGCACACATGATCTTAACACTACCTTCTAGCGGATACATGAAGATTTGCAATTACAAGATTACATACTACTCCTACAACGTAACACACAATATATTTTTCTTGTCTCCTTAAATACCTGTATACTGTGTTGTAGTTTTATGCGCTATGCTACATGCATGCCAAAGTCTATTTATGTGAAAAGCGTGAAATAAACCACACTTACAGAGCAAACCACATACAAAATATAAAGCTGCAATAGGAAAAAATGAGTTGGCACAGGCCACTTAGCTTGATTGCTATTAGTATCATACCTAACAGCCTCCTACCTTCTACCGTGCTAAGGAAAACCTCTACTGCCATTTGAAAAAAAATATGGGTAGGGAATAAATTATTAAAAACATACAGAAAACACTAGAATGAACTGTAGATAGAGACTGTAGCTATGGACTGTCCACACGGCAAAACAAAGGTCTGATTCTAGTTTGTGTTATAAGTGTGCTGTTCAAGTATCTAACCCAGGTAGGAAGTAACACCTAGAAAATACTGAGCAAAGCTCAGAACAAGCAAGTGGGCTCTTGTGGCAAGGGAATAGGAAAGACCTCTGGGATCCTACAGTTTGCTTTGACCAGAGGAACAGTCACATTTTATGTCTGAATAATAAAGTGAGCTCTGAAGACAAGGGACAGATTCAGACTCTGTGAAGTTGCTCCTTCCAGGGCTGCGGAGACAGGCCAGCAGGCAACTGAGATATACGGGACTATTATAGCGGTGGAATTAGTGGTAGCAAACAAGAATGAAAAAAGGTAGCATGAGATGCTGCAGAGTTGTATGTAGGATTCTAAATGACTTCTGACCACCCTATATGAGAAACAATGCGAAATGATGTAATTAAATACAGGCTCCTGTTATACACGAAGTACAGAGAGAAAGTTCTGCTTCCAGCTTCTTTTAAGGATGAAGACATACACCTGTAAGGAGTTTTATTTAATGGAATGATGGACAGAGCATTATTAGAGTTTACAGTGGTGGCCTTAACATTTTTCCATTATACCTGCTTGTTTCATTTACTCGTAACTGCAAGAAGCTTTAACTGTTGGGGGAAATGCTCTATGCTCGGTCTTGGCCTCAATTAGGTTGTTTTGCAAAGTCTGTGCAAAAATGATGCAGCTGTTCTCTGGTATGTTAAAAATAGTCACTTAAAGAGTTCCAGCACCTCCATAATTTGGAGACTGAACTCTATAGCTGCAGTTGGCAAGAGGATCATCCATCAGTCCAGCAGTGTTCTGAGCACTCTGGCTCAGATCCAGTAAAACACTTACATGCATGCAGAAGTGGTCCCAATGAAATGAATGGGACTATTCATGTGCTTAACTTTAAGCATACAGTGGGGGCTTAAGTGCTGTGCTGGATCAGTGCCAGTGCATCCAGCCCCTTGTAAAATTAAGCCCCCAATTACCTGTTGCCCAATAGAGAAAAATATGCTTTCTGAGTGTTCTGCTCAAATTGCATATATTCCCACGTCTGCTCTTCCCTCTTATGCTGTACCTATAAACAGGTAAAACTGCTCCTGCTTGTTATCAAAAATTTCCATTAACCTACAGGACAGTGAAGTGGAAAGCATGAGAGCAAGAGGGTCCAAGAAGTTCCACAACGTGATCTGGAACAGAACCCCCGGCTGTAACATAGCATGCATAAGTTTCATTTGCATAGCCGCAACACTTCTCAGGGAGAAAAAAAAGGCCGCTCTACATGTTTAGAGATGCAGAGAAAGAATCCTACTTCAACCAGGATCCCATAATGGGAGTTTCACAGGAAGGTGTGCTAAAGAACCAGAAGCTAGCTAGATAAGCTAGAGTGTGAATTTGCTGTCAGCTACTCTGCAGTAAACAAACGCCTATCTGTGTGCATGCCCTTACCCCACGCAAACCCAATCCAATGGAGAATTACCATACCTGTGTACTGTACCCTACCCAACTCTACCGGTATAAATTATAGCGGTTAGCTGTTTAGGTGTTATCATCTCTATCCTCATGTGGTCATTTGAACAAGGCAAATAGGCTACTGCTTTCTCTCCACACCCAGTAGCAAAACCCAATAAATAGCCATTTGCTGTTATCTACCCCAGGATAGCTGCATGCCTATCCATTCCTAATCCCAGGGTGTGTTCATTTTTCAGTGTCCTCAATACAGGAAAAGACTATACACATGGGGCATTAAAGGAAGGTAGCTAACCTGCACTAAGTTCACATACTATCTTACTCTGCACTGCCTTCTCACCTTACATGTATCATGTCAATACATACTGGAAAAAAGGATGGTTTAATGAACATGGCACTGGACTGGGACACTGCAGTTTAACATCCAATTTAGACACAGGCTTTCTGTATAGAGTCATAGAATCAATGAGTGGGAAGGGACCTGGACAGATCATCTAGTTCGACCCCCTGCCATGGGCAGGAAGGAGCACTGGGGGTGGGAGGGGTCATAAGACCCCAGCCAGGTGCCTATCCAGTCTCCTCTTGAAGATCTCCAGGGAAGGTGAGAGCACCACCTCTCTAGGAAGCCTATTCCAGGCTCTGGCCGCCCTTACAGTGAAGTAGTTCTTCCTAATATCTAACCTAAACCTATCCTCCCTCAGCTTGTGGCCATTGTTCCTGGTGACTCCAAGGGGGCCCTGGTGAACAGACTTTCCCCAAGTCCCTGCTGCTGGCCCCTGATAAGGTTGTAGGCAGCCACAAGATCCCCCCTCAGTCTCCTCTTGCAGAGACTGAAGAGATTCAGGTCCCTCAGCCTCTCCTCATAGGGCTGGCCACGGAGGCCCTCAACCATGAGTGGCCCTCCTCTATAACCTTAGGAAGTCTCTCTACCTTGGTACACCATATGTGAATTAGGGACAACAACTCTCTTCATCACTTGTGTATGGTGAGGTGTTCAAACATTACAAAATTGAAGGCCATAAGTTTTTAAGATAGATCAACTGATCCACCAGACTTGATATTCTGTAATTAGTCCTCTATTAGCCATTTAGTAAGGATCAGTGTTAAGCTAGCCAACTGCCTTCATCATTCTCTTAACCTTTTAAAAACTGAACCAACATTGTTTGTTTTTTATTTTAATTTTTCCTCTGAACCTGCTCCCCAGTTCTCCAGGAGTTAAGAAAACATTATCCTCAATGGACAAGAGTTGGCCAGCACCTTGCTTTTAAACTTCACTGGCTGGATTTTCAAAACTACTCAGCAAACACAACCATAGCCAAATATTCAGACCTCTTCTAGCTCCCATTTAAGCACATAAATGAAGAATCCAGATTTTAAGCATGTACAGCACCCAAACACTGCTATCATGTTCACTGAAATTATTTCGCAAGATTAGGAGTATTCAATAAGAACAGGAAATTTTGAGTGCTGAGGTCTTTTGATAAAAGTCTGGCCATTTACTGGATGCTCAAATGAGAGCTAGCCCCTTGGGGTTGGGTGGGGGCATGGTGGGTACATTAGAGCTTAAATAGGCCTGCCAAGAAATAAGTATAGAATTGGAATAGAATAATAAGAAATAAGAATAATTCATACAAGTTTATATTAGCTCCAGCATAAATGTTGTAGAGAATAGTGAAGTGCCATTAATGACAGATATCTTTATATAGGAGCTAATTTTATTTAGAATCTTGAAGTGTATCACGCCTGTAAAAATGCTTCTTTGCCAGTTTGAAATTATTATTAAATATGCAATGAAATAGCTGGGCTGATTGATTTTCTGTTAATAATTTTTTAGAATAGTGTATGTGGGCACATACAGCACTGGGACATTGTCACATGGTGTGTTACCGTAGAACATCTAGGAGTTCTTTCTTTTAATTTTTAGTTGTATATGATCCTTTTGTCTAGGAACAAAAAAGTGGACTGTGATCTACTGTAAGCCAGGCTTAGTTACAAGTGTGATTGTCAACTGCAGTGGTAATTACAGCTGGGGCATTTCATCATCGTTACATGGCACGGACATACATCAACTAAATTTGCTCTGAATACAGTACACAAATGTTTACTGGAATATTTCCACTGAGGTTTACCAGAAAGTCCTCCTTTGCATTATCACTGACAACTGTATTAACTTGCCTAGTTATGGCTGTATGCCAGTGGTACTCAATCTTTTGGCCCTGCAGGCCAGATGAGTAGTGCAGGTCTGTCTGCAGGCCTGATTGGGCCTTG